TATTAGTATTTTAATAAAAAGAGTATTTTCTAAAAAAACTGATCTAATTACACAAAAAAAATGTAATTTATCAGCAAAAACAATTAGAGCATGTTATATATCTTAAATCTTGATATAAATTATTTTAAAGAAAAAATAAAATTTTTTATTTTGTATTTTTTAATTTTATTTTTATTTTTTTTATGAATTGATTTAAATAAAATAATATATAAAACTTATAATATCATATAATTTAAAAATAATTTTTTTTATATTTAAATATTTATAAGTTAATTTAAATTTAACTTAAAACTCGATTTGAACTTAATTCAACTCAAATAAATTCAAGTCAAAATTGAGTCAAATTAAACTCAAGTTAAGTCAAATTAAGTTAAGTTTAAAATTTATATAACTCAAATCAAGTCAAATTGAAAGATTTTATAAAATAAATTTAACTCAACTCAATTTAAAAAAATGAGTTAAATAGAATTAATCTATAAACTTGACTCAACTTGACTCATTCAGACTCATTCAAAACTCTATGAATATTGATATTTAAGGATTTTAAAGTTTAAACATAAGTATTATTTTAAATTTATGAATTGATGAAACTTTATAAGATATATATGAATTGCATTCATTATCACTTAAAATGAAGGTAATGCATATCTAATTAATATTTATTAAATGATATTTTTGAAGGTATAGGAGGAGTTAGACATTATGAAAATTAATAGAGTGGAAAAGGTCTTTCATGAAATGTCTGGATAGAGTTATATAAACCTAAATAAATTAATCAATAAAGATAAATAATATTATTACTAACTATAATGACACATATAATAAACTTAAATTAAAAACACTAAAAAGAGAATTAAATAAGGAAATTAAAGTATAAAAATGTATTAGTTATATGAGAATAATGTAATATTAATTGAAATATTTGAAATATATATATTTAGTTATAATTAAAGGACTATTGTATAATAATAAGATAGTAATTACTTCATTTATGATATGAATATTACAGATAAAAGAGATAATTATTACATAATTTTTTATAATAGATTAACAATAAGCTTATTATAAATAACCTGAAATTTCAATTATATAAAATAATAGTTTTTGTAATTATTGATAATAAAAAAACTTATCAAATGCAATAACTTTCTAAGCATTTATTTTTGTTTATTTTTTTATAAGAATCCTTTAAATACAAATGCATATATTCTAAAGTATTTTATTTTAAGAGTTTATGTTTATTAAGTGCAAGCACACATACTTTGAGTAATATCTCATTATTAACAAAAATTGATCTCTTCTTTCTCATTAATATAAAATGATTATCAAAGGTTTTTATTAGAAATGGTGTTAGAAATATTTATTAAATGCTATAATTACTTATTTCAATTTTATTATTAACAAAAAATCTAATACTTTTAAAATTACTTTTATGGGGAATTTAGCTAAAGTTCGTTTATTCATGATTTTAATTTCAAAAAAAGTATTCTGTCCTAGCATTGTGAAACTGTCTCACATTAAGTTTCAATATCCCAAACCTTGTTCTAACAATGCTCCAAGCAACACTTGTTGTATCTCTTTCAGTTAAATAAGAATAAAATTTAAAAGAGCCCTTTGTAAATAATTTTTGAAAATTTTAAAAATTTGTTTCTCGTGTTATCGGTCAGAAAGAAGATAACAACAGGATTTTGATTATTATTGATTCTTTTCTGTAATTTTTTTTTTTTTTCATATTTAATAAACTTGTTAAAAAATGGTTGTTGTAGTTGTTGTTACAATTGTGACAGTTGTGATGGTTGCGTTGATGTATAATTTAAGTGAATGGATTTCTTTTTCCATATTTTTATTTGTTCTATATACAGTACGAGTACATCCATTTTCATAAAAATTCGGATTCGAATGTACTCTAAACCCGAATTTTAGGATCGATCACTTCACAACTATCGCAACGACTGCACAATCCCTATTTGATAATTCAAGTTCTTCATTTTCTAGGAGATTGGATATAAGTGAACAAATTTTATGTAGAATGAAACAAAATCTTAAATTACCTCGAACAATTCGTTAGGTAATTCATGAACTGATATGGGATCATTAGCGGTGAAGACTCAGAGGAGAAGTAAAAGATTTTAATGATCCATTTTTTGCTGAGGATGAGGATTCGATATCGTTGATCCTGTTCACTCTCTTTGGGACACAGAGAAAAATCGCCAATTTTTATTCAGGTCATCCTATATCTTTCAAATTCACAATATACAAACTTGGGCACATGTAAGTATCATCAGAATAGTAGCTCCCCGGAATTACTTTCACGATCCTGCATGTTTCAATTTCTTAACTGATACAAATGCAAAATAATTAGGAATATCCATTAGAATCTTCCACTTCTTGTAGGCCTTTTGTTTTCGATAATAATCACGTGTCCATTCTCGAATGCTGAAATAAAGTTGCGGCAATGATTATCAAACCAATTTTGTGAGGTGACATCAGACGCGATCGGTATTTTTAAATTTTATATCACACACAAAGTAATGAATGAAGTGTTTAACCGAGTAAGAAATATAATAGAATTGAATTTAGTTTCCAACTTTTTTTTTTTCTTTATAAAAATAAAATTAACAAATGTACTATTTCCAAGGAATTTCATAGGAAGAATTTGATAAAATTTAAAAAAAAACAATGACTGAATCTGCTAGCCAACAAAAAAAGATCGTAAATATCGTGACATTCTATTACTTTATAGAAAAATTATCTAACGCTTTGGTCGAGGATTTTATAAGGGAATAACTCCTGGACGAGTCGCTATACCGCAGGTGAATTTGCTCGAACTTTGTCGTATATGAGCAAAATGGCTATATAACTTCTTTTATCCTAATGGAAAAATCATTTGCACTGCTCTTATGATAAGTCAAGTTGGAACGTCGTGTCAATTGCTTTTGGAAAGGAATAATTAAGTCGATGAGTAAGCTTATGATTATTTAATCATAGATTTCAATAACATTTAATATTAAGTCTCGAGGCTGAATATGATCACAGATTCAATATGTTACTAGCGGCAGCTTAAAGTATTGATTCAGAATGATAAAACCATTGTTCATTAGGAACGATAATACTATCGTACCTAAGAAACGATAAATGCATTATACCTTAAGTACAATAATAACATGATTCTATTTTTTATAACCGGAAAAATTATATTCCGATAGTAATAATAGCAAATTTTTAAATTGTAATTTTAAATATTTAATATTTTATTTATCACAAGATATTTTAAAACAAATTATGTATTAATATAAATTTACATCTGCAAGAATTAAAAGCAATTGATATGATGACTTTTTTTTAAAATACAAAAAAAAAAAAAAATAGATATTGCTTTCATTTTCGCAAAGGACGCCGAGGTTACTGTTTTTGTTCAACTCGTTCCTTTACGATGATTACAGTACAATGACAATTATGACTACAATAATCGCTTACTGAACCTAAAAGTGTGCTATAAAAAGAAGAAATGAAAAAATGAAGGAACGAAACGTGTTAATTATTCCTTAATTAACCTTTTTTTTTTTTAAAAAAAAAAAAATTTAAATACCGTTTTAATGCTCCTAAACCACGTGACCCGATCACCAATGCGTCAGCGTTGAGCTCGGCCACTTTTCGAACAATTTCATCACGTGCGTCACCTTTCATCGCTATAGCTTTGCACGCGAACTAAAAATATTTATATATATATTAAAATTTCGAAAATGTCAAAAAAAAGTTTCATCATCGCAAATTCAAAAGAGACGAACATTTTGAGCCTTTAATTTCGAAGCAAAGTCTTGTAATAATGAATGGCTACTAAGTCGATGCTAAAAAGCCCAATGGGGAAAAAAAAACAAATTAGTTACACGATATATACTTCTGGAAAGATCTAATTTGAAAATCACCTGTTCTTCCAAACTTGTCACAACTTCACTGAAATCCATGTAACTAGCGCCAATTGCTGCTTAGAAAATTTTATAAGGTAAAAAAAAATTTGATTCCAAATTATTAAGACCATAAGGACGACCATAAGGACTCGGAAACTTACCATATGGACCAGGAACTGTCGGAATCGATCGAACATTGACCAACACAACCTATATAAAGAAATTTCGGTTTTTTTTTTTAATTCATTTTTCATAAAAAAGCCTCAGGAGACAATTCAAAATTTGTATTTTTACCAAATCGTTTTCTTTTCGTAAGAAGTTCTTTAGCGCCCAATAGAATGCTTGTTGACTATGAGTTGAATGGTCAATAGCAATAACAACAACACGAGTAATTGGTGATTTAGATTCTGCATCTTGTGTAGTTGTAAGAACGGTATCTTCTGGTACAGTGCTTTCTGATACTTGAGTAGTAGAAGTTGCGGTTGTAGTTTCAGTATTGTTAGACATGATTATTTATTAAATTTTATGATATTTTAATTTTTATTATTTTTATTACAAATAATAAAACAAATGGATGTAAATTTAATAGAATCCCAAGGGAAAAACTGTCGCATTTTATATGTAAATACAAGATAATTTCTGGGTCGAGTTTGTTTTTTGTTTAAAAAAAAATCAGCCCATGGCAATGACGATCTTCTTATAAAACGTCATGTCTACATCATGCCATCTCGACTCATCACCCCATTGCGATCACTTAATTATGTCATTTAATTCGTTCAATTAAGGTTAAATATGCTGATCATTTCCAAAATCATTCCCATATCCATTGGGTTTTGGAAATGGGTTCCTGAGAAACTTTTATTAATAACTAAAATTACTAAAATGGGTTAAATAATTTCACAGAACCTGAATTTCCTAGAAGTCATCCCATTTTATTTTTCCCATCGGCGACAATGTCATTGAAACTACTCAATTGCAATTCTTTGGAATTCCAAAAAAAAAAAAAAAAAAATATTATTTCGATCAACTAATTATTTATCCGTATTTCGTCATTCTAAAAAATGTGATTCAAGAGTTACAAAATAATAATAATAAATTATCATAATCCATTTAATGGAAAAAATTAATCCTATATTATTATATAATTTAATCCGTATCCCATTCATCATCATCATCGTCATCTGAAAATAATTTAAGTAAATTAAAATTATGAGTAATTATCAAGATTAAATGTTCCCGTGAAATTCGTGATGACTTACCGGAATCGTCACTTCCCATATCTTTATTAAGTTTCTTTAATGCATCTGCTAAAGTTTTCGCTAAATTTGTATCATCATTTCCGCTTGGGCTTGAGTCTTCCGTAATAGTTGATTGACGAACAGGTTCACCAACCTACAAAGCATTTTTAACATTAGCCAAACATTTTTTTTTTTTAAAAGAAAAGTTGTATGTAATCTTTACTTACATTTTTCAACCCACCACCACTAACCCCACCCCTATTACGAATAGCTTCCATTAAATTAGCTCTACCATTTACAGCTGGCGGAACTTGTTGAGGTACGTTTGGAGATTCACGTGAAATTGATTGCATTGGTGGTGGAGGTGGAGGCGGTGCCGTTCCCAAAGTTGGAGGAGGAGGAGGTGGTGGTGGTGGTGGTGCCGCTCCCCCAGTTGAAGGTGGTGGCGGTGGTGGTGGTGGTGTTGCCGACTCAATTGGATCAAAAGATGGTGGTGGTGGTGGTGGCGGCGGTGGTGGTGCTAGTGCAGGCACTGGTGCTGATACTGGTGCAACATTTACATTTGTGTTACGAGTTGGTGGAAGTGGTGGAGGTGCGATACTGGAACTGGTCACTCTTGCAGGTGGAATCGGTGGCGGAGCATTACTAGAAATAAGAGGACGAACAGGTGGTGGCGGGGGTGGAGGTGCGACCACAGGTTGTTGAGCAGGAGGACGTGAAGGAAGAGTAGGTGGGGCAGGCGGAGATAGTGTTGGAAAAGTAGGAATTGGTGATACTCTTGGAGAAACTCTGGGTGATACCGGAGGAGAAATAGAAAGCTGTTTTGCATTCGTAGGAGATGATGGTTGAAGCGAGTCACGAGTTGGAGATGTAGGCCCCAAAAGAGATTTACGAGGTATTGGTGGTGGTGGTGGTTTCTTGTTTTTGGAGGGTGATTGCGCGGTAGGTGGTTGTGGCGCAATACGTCTACTTGGTGGTTCGGGGGGATTGATTGATTTACGATCATTCCTAGCGGGAGGATTTGCTGGCTTACGATTATTATTTTTAAGATAGTCATTAATGAAATCGGCATTTTTTTCTATTTCTTCCTAAAAAGGAACATTAAATAGAATCAAAATTACTATTGAGGAATATTATTATTTAAACATAAGAAAAAAGGTTAAATGAAATCACATAATTACACTGCTGATACCCAACTCTCCTAATTGAGTGATAATCCCTTTCCATTCAGGGTCAATGTTTTGCACCTAGATAACAAATGAAATAAATAAAAAAATTCTCACATATCATCACATATAACTCAATTTCACCGATTTAACCTACATCAAATCCTTTCTGTTCATCATATCCAATGTGTCCAAGATGTCTAAATACGAATTGGGAGCAAATCAAAAAAAATTAATAAAAGAAATTAATCCAATATCGACCGAATAAAAAATGAAGTTCTTTTACCTAAATTCCGTTGGTCCACTAATTTTTGATTTATCAATTTTACTCTTAGACCTGCCGATGCCAAAAATTCCGCCACCACTATTCTTATTTTCTTTTTGAGATTTCTTATTAGCTGTGTATATTTAAATTAATCAAGATAACGTTCTTATGATGAAACGATAAAGATCACATTTATAACAACGTTACCAACGTACACTTTGAAGAAATCTTTTCCCTATTTGTAACTTTTTTGTGAAAGATTTTGGCATCTTGTTCATCAGCAAAGGAGAAAGCAGCAAGATAATCCTATCATAAAAAGATAAATATTGAATTGACACAACAAAAATCATATTTTTATAATCGACAAAAGGGAAAATAATCTTACATCAAGGGCAAAAGTATGTAAGAATGGAAGTTCAACAGTATATTGGAAATTTTTATAGAGTTCTTGTTCCCATAGAATACCGCGATTTCCCTAAAATTCATTAGAATGATATTAATTAAAAATGCTGATGAAAAACTTTTAAAGTAATGGGTAATTGAACTTACCATTAAATCAACAATTTTAAAAAAGAACGAATTCTTTGAATTATCCTTGACAAGAGCTACCGCTCCCATGATTTTGGTATATGTCCAAGCATTTGCATCAGGATATGCTACGTAAAGTCGGGCAACCGTTGCATTTAAGATTTTCTAAAATAATTTAGTTTGAATTTAACACACTAGTCCAAAAGAAAAAATAAATAAATAAAAAAATCTCTCCCTCCTTACATTCCCTTTTTTAGATGGAAGAGCTTTCTTTATTAATGTTTTATCTTCAGGTTTCAGAATAGTAACTGGAGGCATATTGGATTTGTAAATATAAAATTTTGTTTTGTAGAAAGATGAATTTGATTGATTATATATATATACACCAAAAAAAGCAGTTTTATTTGTGTTCCAAATAAAAATGCCCAGGGAGCCAAGAGAATTTCATCACATCCTAAATCCAGTAAACGATTCATAAAGGATAACCAAAAAGAGTTAATGAATAAACATCTAAATTTTTACCCCTATAGATTACATCTAAAGTATATGCGATTCGAGACGAATTTATATTTATTTATTTATTTATTTTTTTTTTTTGTTAAAAAGTTACATGAATTTGTCTTTAAATGTATATTTACCGCTTTTTATACAAATGGAACATTTCTTTAGGATTTTATGCTTAAAAATTTTTCATGTAAAATAAATTTGCGAAATAAATCGTAAAAGATTTTTTTTGTCTTGTTTTTTTTTTTTTTTTTTTGCTATATTACTACTATATTACCAAAGGAAACTCAAATGAATAAAAAAGGTTGATGGCATAGATAAAAACTTTTTATGTTATTGGGAAGGTATATATATAATTTTTTTTTTCATTTTTTTAAATATAAGAGAAAAAGGAAATTTTTTTTTCTATCATTGGGTTTGTACATTTCCTTGGTTATTTTTTTAAAAATTATTTTTTTTTTTTTTTTTTTTTTTGAATAATAAAGCCCAATTCTGTGTATTTTAAAAATCTAAAAAAAAATTATTTTTTTTGACGTAAAAATTATTTTTTTTTTTTTTAACGTAATTACTTTTTTTTTTTTTTTTTTTCTTTTTTTTTTTTTTCAAACAAAAAATTTGCGAAAAAAAAAAAAAAAAAAAGAATAATTCGAATAGTTCGAGTTAATTTATCGCGAATTTTTTTTTTTTTTTTTTTTTTTTTGAAATTTGGCAAAATGTTTTTTTTTTTTTCTATCTAAAATGTTTTTTTAGCTGTCCGATTCGTTCACATTTGTATTTGTATTCTTTCATTCTATGTTTCACTAGCAAGTTCATCTTCAACACTTGACTCATCTCCGCTTTGCTTCCCATACCATTTCATAACGCATGATAACCCATAAATTAATTCCGCTTGTTTACGCGATTCAGCAGCAATCAAATTCACGTGACATTTTTCTTCGGCACGTAATTGAAACCCTGCAGTTTTCCAATCACTATATTCAATATCTTCGGGTTTACAACTAACCTTTATACGGAAAGGAGAGAAAAAAACCCTCGCGTTAAAATTATGTAACAACAGATCATTTTAATTAATGTGACCCTTTTTTTTTACTAACCTTCTTGAGGTACGTTTTGAAATTATTACTAAGATATGTGTTGATGTCACGATATACGTAATCATCCTTTAGTAATCCGGATAATCTTTGTACGTAAAACCAAATTGCTTGTCGTAACGGTCTTGTATCAATATTTGAGGATTGGTATGAATGAAATAAACTATAAATTATTATGATAAAATGATATCGTTAATCTTTATGTGCCGAAATATGCCAAAAAGTTAATAAAGAATGAACATTGAAAAGGGAACAAATTTTATATACATCCTATTCAAAAATCAACGAAAAGAAAATATATACCAATAATCAGTAATATCCCAAACTTTGGCGAATTCTGCATCTAACACATCACCGGCACCTGAGAAATATCTATTCGCCATCGACACACCATGATCCCAGCCATAATCTTGTAATTTAAATACGCTATATTCAGAACTATTAACAACAAAGTCTGTGTAAGCATATTGCGTGTCCACGGATGGATCAAGAAATCTTGAAAAATCTTCAGTGGATAAATTTGTAGATGGCAAGTTATATATCGAATGAAGTAAAGTGGGCGAAGTGGTGTTAGCGGTCGAGGAAAAATTTTGAAGGAATGGAGATAAAGTTATGTCACTTGTTGGAGACTCATTTGTAAATGCTAATAATTTTTTTTAAAAGGAAAGAAAAAAAAAATTAATAAAAATAAAAGGTCGTGTGAATTGTTGAAAAATCGCGCGTGTATATAAAGGATACTCACTCTCCTCTTCGATATTCTCAAATTCAGCGATTTCACTGCTCCACGTTGATGATGATAAATGTAAATCGGGTTTATTCTTTAACCTCTTAATCAGCTGATCTGTATGCCTCTGAATTTCCACATCTGAAGTTAGTTCCTTTGTAACATTTTCGGCTGGTGTCTTCTCATTATTCCCACTATCATCATCTTTAGGTTTCTCTACTTCGATTTGCTCTTCTTCGGTTATACCCAACCCGGATCCTACATTCGGGGAAATTGATTCCGAAGAATCCATAATTCCAATAGAACCACCTTCGACAGTAGTGGAGGCCCAAGGTGGTAGATCATAATAACCCCCAATACTATCATATTCAGGTACAATTCCACATCCCAACACAAAACTGCTTAAACTATGAAAGGTACTCAATATCATAATAACATGCACAATCTCGGAAATTGTCCAATTATTTGGTAAGACTCTAACCAATGCACCGATATGTGATGCTTGAAGACGCCATGGTTGATGTGCTAGTATAGCATTAAGTGTGGCCAAATTACGAATTTTTTGTGGTGCGTACTGAAGTCCTAGTAACCAATTCGCGTCTCCTCCATTTATTAGGAAATCGCTTGTAAGTTTTGAGACAATGTATTGACATTTATGTTGTGATGCAGCCTGAAAAGCGCGTCAAATTTTTAATTTTAGATATGAAATGACCAGCATATTTGAAATTCTCGATCGGATACCCACAGTTCGATAAGAAAACTTACCATAATTCCAATATAAAACCTCCAACTAATAGGTACGGGACCAATAGGACCTTTAACGATGATATTATAGGAAGCTTGATATTTTTCCATAAAACCAGGAAAATAAGCCAAAACTCGATAATAATGACTTAATCTTCCTAAATTAACAAAAGTATCACTCAACAAATTTTTAACCAAAGGATCAGGTTGTCTACCCTTCGGTAAAGGCCATAAAGGTGTAGATGATGTTATAGGTTGTGGAAATTGTGATGTTTCAGAAAATGATGTGGATGAAGGGGATGAGCAAGATGAAGAAGGAGTTATGCCAGTATTATTGCTCGTGTTTTCCGGTGGCCATTCAAGAGTCAGTATATCCTCTGGTGCAATATAGAACGATGGAGCTGGGTATATTGGTACCGGCACCGGAACACCTGCCATCTATTAAAAGAAAAAGGAAAAGGACAAGAATTACATCATGAGTAATTTGTTTTTGAAAATTGAGATTGAGTTGTGACGAAATTACGATCATTTTGAAGTAAAGAATTTGATATCTTTTTTTAATTCTTTTTTTTTCTAAAGAAAATTAACGCGAGACAACCAATAATAATAATAATAATAATAATAATTTATTATTACTATTATTATTATTTTGATAAAAAAAATTACGCGTACAATTATATTTAATTTTCGTTTATAGCAAGATTTAGAATTCAATGAAGAAAATATAAATTCGAAATGTTCCATGGAGCCATTTCCATTATTAGTTTTTGTAGCTTAATTTTTTTTTAATGATCTCACTTTATATAATCGAAAGAATATGAAGGCCGCTTCATTTTTCGAAGCAGTTACACTGAATAAAAACAATAGTGTAAGCTTATTGTGCGAAATTTGTGTATTGTGCACAAAGTTCATTTCGTTCTTTTATAATATATATATATGTATATATATATATATTTTAAAGTATTAAGATAAAAAGGTAAATAACTAGTTGACATTAAACAATAAACAAACCAAATTCAATTTAAATCAAAAAATAAACGCGAAATAAAATTTCTTTGGTAACTTACTTTTATTAGGTTTAAAGAAATCCAACCTCTCTTTATTATTATTATATTACCATATAATAGTAATTGTAATTACTCTCATGCTATATACACACACATATATATAAATGTATATATGTATATGTAGTTTATAAAATTATAATACGAAAATTTCATGAAATTTTGAAGTATAAATGAAAACAATAATGAATCGTGGCGCAGTTACATATTATATAGACAAAGTTCCAATGATTTTCAACGATTTGAAAAACAAAAATAAAATATAATGAATTAAAAAGGATAATATTAAAAAAAATACGATGATAATATCTTACCCTGAGGTCTTCTAAACACTTTTCGAAAGAAAGTCTAACATCGGGGAAAGGGCAATCAATAGACATTCGCAACATTGTCAAAAGATGTAATCTTAAAGATTCCTTTGCTTCTTCCTCAGAAATCTCTGCATCATCGTTATCATCAGCGGAATCTCTACGTTGTTGTTGATGAGAAGAGAAGTGTTGAGAATAACTACCGTATGGTCTGAAACCATCATAAATAAATTGATCACCCGGAATCCCGTTCCGTTGTGGTACTGAAGCATTCTCCTGATTTGCATATTCATGTTGAAATAGATTAACTTGATTGATATTAACGCTTTTATCACCATCACTAGCATTTGTAACATTAAGAATACTAGGGATAGTAGACATATCCCCGCATCCGTTATCCACGACCGGTGAAGCAGCATAAGAAGACACCGATCCATCAGTGAGTAACGGAGAATTAGGAGAGTTTAAAAGGGAAGATGCAGGATTAATATCATCAGAATCCGAAGATTTTCGTGATGACATGGGAGTCACCGACAAATTATTACTATTTTCAGACAAAGGAGAGGATGCATTAGACACGTTTCTCTTGCCACCTGTTGCTGTTACTGACACTACAGTTCCTGCTGTTGATCTTTCGACAGGATAGCATTCTTTTGCCCAATTATTTACTAATCTCGTTATATTATCTAATGCATTTGTGCGTTCCACTTGGTTGTTATTTAACAAGCCATCAAAGAGCGCTATGCGATAAAGTGGTCCGGCTTGACGATCTCTTGTTGATGATTTAGGAATACTGTAGTCTTCAAAATGTCTATTATAATGCTGTTGTCGTCCAGAATTATATGTCATGACAAAGAAAAGGTTAATATATCAATATATAAATTAAAACAGTAATCCGTCAAAGGAAAAAGGTTGATAAAACGAAACGCAATGGGAGAAAGTGAGAGATGATGGAAGATTACGAAGAATAATGTATGTATAATCAAAGAGACTAGGGTGAATAAAAACCAGAACAATTTTATGACATATAATGAAGCTTTCGAGAGAAAAGAAAGTATATAAAATTTTAAAAATACAAAAAGAAAAGATTAGGAAACAAAATAAATTTTAAGGGGAGAAAAAAAAAAAAATTGAAGTGCAAGTATATCCTAATAAAAACGTAAAAAGATAATGAAAGTGTAATATTAGAAAAAACTTGCAAGAGAAAATTTATTGAATGATAAAAGTGAAAGTATTTATAATTTTTTTAATTTATATTATTTTATTTTATTTTAGAGTTTTAAACTAGTATGACAACAAATACAAATTCGGAATAAGCGAGAAGAAAATCCTGAAAATTACCAACAAAATTATGTGAGGGACGGCGGGAGTTTTTAGTTCGTAAAAAAAAAAAAAAAAAATTTTGCTAATTTATGACTGAGTCAGTGTAACAACAGAATATGGTAAATTGTCTGACATTTTTAAAATTTCACCATAGAGAACCCTATTTTTGGGGGAGGGTGAACGAAATTAAATTATCAATTAAAAAAATTTTTTTTTTCTTGTTACGATAATTTCGTTTGATAATAATTAAATACATTATGCTTTGTAATATAAAAAAATGGTAAGCCACTTTGGACAGCACAGCATAATCTGAAATCACAACTCATATGTGATAAGTTAATTGAAAAACAAAAACGAAAACGAAAAAATAAAACTTAACTTAGTTTAGTATAGTTCATGTATGATGTATCTAATATTCAGTATAAATAAAGTTTCCGACCTTTCTCACTGTTATCATTACAGTAACTATATACGGTGATGTATATTACATTGTTCCACGTGTACGACAATCAAAAATCTTCCATATTTTCCTTTCATAAAAAGATAAATTCAAAATGAAAAGTTTCAGCATTCTTTGTCATGTCAAAATCAATTTTTATCGATGTAAAGATCATACGAAAAAAAAAATGGGATTGTATACAAATATGCAATATGATAGATTATGTACCTGAATGTTTCCCACATACAACTGACCATTTTGGTATAGCGTAAAAGACTTTACACAACGACGTGGCACAGTTGAAGGCGGCGGCACAGTAAATTTTGTGTCGCGTGATACGAAATCAAAATAAAATACCGTGGGATTTTTTTACCACAAATATTTCCCGTCTTTTTTGTGCTGCGGTAAGCTAATAAACAAATCTAAAAGGGTTTTTAAAAAAAGAAAGAAGTAATTGAAACTGATAATGTTCTTTGTTTCCGTATTGTTTAACAAGAAAATCAATTTCCTGTTTAATTCGCATTTAAACTTTAAAAAAAAAATAAATAAAGGTAACAACACACACTAAGGTTGAACGTCGATTGCTATGAAAATTGTTAGTATTATTTTGATCAAAGTAATACACCACTACTGCATCATGACACCACCTTCTTACTGTATGGTTGCACATTAGATTTTATAATATGAATATAAAGAAAGTACTTAAGGGATTAGCAGGTTGGCTGTCCTTGTTCCTGTTTCTTTAACTTTCCCTAAACAATAAATTAATCTATTCTTTTTAAATAATCTTTTGTTTCCTAATAGGTTGATGATGATTGAAAGGAATATATTGTACGACATGGCAAAACATGGGAACGATATATGTATGTGATGATATACTAAGTATAATAATTTAACGCGATTGAATCGTGTTTTTCGTATATATCCTTACTTTAAAATTTTTGTTTTTGATCCTGGTAAACAAGATTATGTCATTATTTAATAATATCATTAATGAGGACTTTCAAATGATAATCATTAACGTTCGCCGAATATGTTGCAGAAAGGTAGGTTGCGTTGATCAATACTATGTTCAGATTAATTAAGGGAAAAATTTTTTTTTTTTTTTTTTTTTTTTTTTGCAATAGCTTATAATATACTGCACGAGAGAGAATAATAAGGATATCACTTCTCAAGGTTCATTTATCCTTTTTAATTTGTTGTTAGAGTTTACAAAGATTCCTGTTTCAACACATTTCTTATATATATTTTTTTGCGTTCTACTAATATGTTTGAACTGGGAAAAAAAAATTTATTTACGTTTTTAATTTGGGATTCACAGAACGTCAAGTTTAGAGTTTACAGGAACTTGGTTAAACAAATATATTTGTATTTGTATGCTTGGTGGCTCGGGTAACTGACCGTAAATGTAATTTCATGCTGTGCCAATATTAATCAATAAATCATGTGAAATAAAAATTCTAATTTATTAATTTTAGGTAAAAAGTTTTTGCGAAAGCATACCGAAACAAGCGAGAGAATTCATAGGTTCAGAAAAGTTTGTTTGCTTTGATCAATGGTTGAATTGATTACACCGCGTTTTTGATGTGTCGGATATGAAATTAATGCAATTTTATAAGATTCCCTAATCCAAAAGTTTTTTTTTGTTGTGCATTTACCATGACTAAAGTGACCGTGTTCATGCTGCGCCATACCATTTGTAGGGTAACCCGACTCAAAAAAAAAAAAAAAAAACATTGTATCATGTATGTATGCATCATTCGATTTTGCATGTATGTGTGTGTTACCAAGTTATTATTTCAACAACAAATAACTCGAATTGTTTAACCGCAAAAATAAATGATCATTTTTTTTTTTTTTTTTTCACACTAATACATATTATAAATAAAAAAAATACTGTGTTAATTTAGGCGTGATCGTTTATGTGGTGATATTTTAAAATATTCGTTGATCAAACATTCAATTCTTGTTACATTAAGATGGCTTTTACATTTTTTTTTTTTTTTTATAAAATATAAAATAACAAAGATCTTCTTTCTTAAAGGAAATCTACCATGTATATATTTACTTATGTAATATAAAAAAAAAATTAAGAGGTCTGAGCACATAATCTAGTACGGTAATACCAAAGATGTCATCAAATTAAAGTGAAAAGGGGTCCTTATTTCCTTACAAAAACAGGTATTAAAAGTTCAAAAAGCCACTGATGAATCTTTGCATAAATAAAATGTTCTGGGCTTTTACTATTATTGTATTACGATTTTTTTTTTTATTTTCAATTCACAAGAGAAATAAATAACAATCATTAATTTGCAACCATTAATTGCAACATTCATTCCTGCAATCAATGAAAGAAGACTCGCTTTCGGTGTAAACCAATTATGTACTAATATTAATCAGGAAGTGCAATAATCATACAGAAAAAAAAAGATGTCATTTATAAAAAGATCACAAATCAACTTTTTAATGGTTTATGATTCTAGATCAATGAAATTGAAATAAAGAAAATAAAAAATCGAATTATATTTACAGATTACACAAATTATTTATTGAATATCTTATTTGTTCAAACAAACATTAAAAATCCAAAAAAATGGTGAAATCGAAATTTTTATGGTTTCTAATATTCCACAAGTATACGAATTCTAAATTTCACATATATTTGTTTATTATATCCGACCATATTTTTATGATAAAAAAATTTTTTTTTTTTTTTTTTATTTGAATCATTTGATGTTAATTTTACTTTTATTATAAAAACTTTTCTTGCTATTAAATTCTAATCTAATTTTTTTTATAAAAAAAAATAATAAATTACCTTTTACTTAAATATTTAAGGAAAATTAAAATATTAATATACTAATTATTAATTAAATTTTATATTCTGTATCATTATTATTTATTTTACTAATATTTTTTTAATATTTAAAAATTAATTAAATTATAATCATTCTTTTATTATATAATCAATACTAAATCTTATTAAATTTTTTATTATATTAGTAATATTTATAAAAAAAAATAAAATAAAATAAATTATTATTATTATATTATTATTTTCTTCAATTTTATTTATTTCAATATTTAAATTTTAAATTATTTAAATTATATAATTTAATAATTTAATAATTTAAATAACTTTTATTAATATTATTTTTTTAAATTTATTTTTAAATTTGATAAATATAATTTTATCTTTTAATATAATTTTTTAAGTTTTAATTTTATCATTTAAATAACTTAATAAATTTCTAATAAAATAATAATAATAGTTTTGATTCCTAAAAATTTATAAAATAGAATCTTATTATTATAAAAGATATCATTTACAATAGCAGAAGCTATAAGTATATTAACGTTAACATTTTATAATAGAATTATAGAAAAGATTATTAATTCTTAGATTAAAAAAAATAAGTTAATTTTATTTATTCATTAATCTTTAACAATCTTATTAACATTTACTTTTAAAAATATTAATCTTAATAGAATATTATAAATTTATCATAAAAAATTTTAATTATAATAATTTTTATGATTTATTAAGAAATTTTATAACTTTTATTAATAGTAAAATGATTTAATTGGCTTATAAACATATGAATTTTAAAGAAATTTTTAAAAAATTATTATAATAAATTGTTTTAAAACTTAATTTTAAAAATTAAATTATTTAAAAAACTTCTTATAAACTTAAAATTTCTTTAAATAAAGTTGATTAAATATATATTAAACTATATTTTTCATAAATACTTACTTAATAATTTATTAAAATTTTTAAGTTTGCAAATAAATTTGCCTACTAGATAATCTAAAAAATAGAAAAATTTTATATTAAATAAAAATTTAAGAATATATTTTATAATATATTGAAATAAAATTATATAGCTTTTGATACTATACTAAAATTTAATTTAGATGATTTTCCTTCAATAATATTTCTAATTACTAATAATAAATTATATTTTTTCATTAGAAACCTTTTGCAAAAATTTTATATAAATTAAAATAAATAAAAATGAAATATGTGAATTATATAAATTTTATAAATACTGTTATCTGTTATATTTAATCTTATATAAATAAAAATACATAACTATCTGTAAAAGTTAAATTTAATGGTAATCATAATTATAATTATATAGATTATATTATATATATTTAATAATAATATAGTATTATTAGAAAAAGTTAAGTGAAAAGATATTAATGAAAGTATAGTTAAGTTCTTATATGAATATATTACAATGAAAAATTAGGTAAATATAAGATTAAATTTCATAAATATTTAATATTATAACTATAGATTATAATTAGAAATTTATTTATTAAATTAGTTAATAATTAAAATTTCTAAGGAATATAATGTAAATTTAAGAAAAATAATGATAACTCAAAAATATAATTAATATATATTATATATTTTTAAAAATATGTTACATTTTAAATTATAATAAAAATGAATAAAATGTAAAATATCTTTGTAATATCTATAAAATAAATTTAAAAATGAAAATATTAAGTTAGTATTAAGGGATATGTATATTTTATGTTACATATTTATATAATTATCATGTAAATTACATCATATTTCGTTAATAAACTCTTTTTTACCAAATAAGGATTAAATAATTCTTCTCTTAAAAAGTAACAAATTTCTCTCTCTTTATTCACTAAAAGAAAGATATTGAGAGGAAGTTAAATTAATTTACATTAAACTTTTTTTTATAATCATAATATATTAAGATAAATAATTTCTTCATATTATACATAATAAAGTTGATAATAATAAAAATACTGAAATTGACAACGAATCTGATGATAATTCATTAAAAGATATATATACTGAACAAACTTTTATAACATTTAAAATACTTAAAATATGTTTAAAATGATATGCAAAATAAGCAGGTTTTAAAATAAGAATAACAAAATATAAAAAAAAAAATGGTAGCTGAGCTAGAAAAATATATAAATACTATTATAGAGGTAAATATCAACCTAAAAAAAGTAGATTCTACATATAACTGAAATTAAAATTTAGCTCATATTAAATATGAATTTCTTGTAAATATAGCATGTTGCAAATACTCAAATTTAGTATATATTAAAGTTGGTAACTATAATTAAATTATATAAATTACAACTTTATAAAATTTATTATGGTTGCAACTTATAATTGCAACTATTTAAAAGTTACAGCTTTTTATAATAGTTGTAACTTAAATTAAAGTTGCAACTTTTTATAATAGTTGCAACTTAAATTAAAGTTGTAATTTAATTTAAATAATAAATTATAATTAGTTGCAACTGGTTGCAACTAATTTTATAAGTTTAATTGATTTGCAATTTATTGTATACAATTATAATATTTATAATTATTGCAATTTTAAATAATAGTTGCAATTTAAATTATAGTTGCAACTTAATTTAAATAATAAATTATAATTAGTTGCAACTGGTTACAACTAATTATATAAGTTTAATTAATTGTAACTTATTATAATACAGTTGTAATTTTTATAATAGTTGTAATTTAAAATTGATTATAACTAGTTAATAATTAATAATATTGTATATTTAAAAAAATTTACATGTTTTTTATATCTTTAAAATATTTAGTTTTCAATATTTTTTATTTTTCTTAAAAAAAATAAGTAAAGAAATTTTATCTTTTTAAAATTCTAATAATACAGATAATATACTTTCAAGTTATTATACTAAATTATCAAATGAAATTAATATAAAAAAAAAGGAGGTTGAAAATTTACAAAAGTTTAGAAATATATTAAACGCAGAAGCAAAAAAGTTCTAGTAATTATGAAGGAATTTGCATTTATTATAATCAATTTTAGATTGTAATTAAATTTTTAAATTTAAAAATACATTTGGCTAAAGATTATTTAACATGTCTAAAAGAAATATCTTAAGTATTTATAAATGAATTAGCAAAAAATAAAATACAAAATAATGAAAAAAACTAAAAAAAAGCAATATAAAATTGATTTAAATATTCAAACAACACTTAATTTTGAAAAAATTAAACTTAATGAATCTAAAATTAAAGAAATTGATAGCATTTTATTAAAAATATTTATATATTGTAATATAGTATTTAATATTATAGAAAATTCCTTTTTATTGAATTACTTAAAGTATTATATATTAGATATAATCCATCATCAAGACGAAAATTAGCTATAGAATTATTAAAAAAAAAAGTAATTTAGATAAATCTAAAAATAGAAAAGATTTTAAATAATACATTAAATTTAACATTAGCTATTAATGGATGGATATCGTCAACTGGATGATCATTTTGGAATTTTTAATATTGACATCAATTAGACAATAATATTAATATAAGATACAAGATTTATCTGAAGAAAAACATATAGGA